TAAAGGGAGACCCCCTGCAGGGCTCATTCAATGCACCTGACCCGGAATTAAATTTGGAGAATGGATTTACTGCCAAAATGCCAGGTGCACATCTGGTCAGTAAAGCAAGGCGTGACTCATTGTGGGATTGTGAACCAGCTAGCTGGATCCCAATAGAGTGTAGGGCAGTGGTTTTCAACCTGTGGGTCACGACCCCTTTGGGGGTCGAACGGCCCTTTCACAGGGGTCGCCTGATTCATAACAGTAACAAAATGACAGTTATGAAGTAGCAATGAAAATAATTTTCTGGTTGGGGGTCACCACACCATGAGGAACTGTATGAAAGTGTCGAGGCATGAGGAAGGTTGAGAACCGCTGATGTGGGGGACACCATGGGTGAGCCCTGGTCGCACAGTGGTTAAGTGCTCAGCTTCTATCCACAAGGTTGGTGGCTGGAACCCCCTAGCTGCTCCATGGGAGAAACACGTGCCCATATGCTTCAGTACCGATCAAAAGTCATGCTCTGCCCTAGAGGGTCCATAGGCGTCAGAGCTCACTGCATAGACACAGACTTGGTGTAAACAGGTAGTTAGTGGGCTTGCCTGCTGACAAAAAGGTTGGAGGTTTGAGTCCACCCAGAAGCACCTCAGAAGAAAGGCTTGACCATTGAATCCCTAAAAGAACAGTAAAGCCTTAAAAAAAACCACCAACAACAAACCTCACTGGTATCAACTTGATTCTGACTCATAGCCACCCTGCAGGACAGGGACCGGGTAAAGCTGTGTGTGTGTGTGGGGGGGGTGGGGTACTGTAACTCCTAATGGATATAGAAAACTTTGTCTTTTTCCTGAGGAGCAGCTGGTGGTTTTGAACTGCTGGCCTTTCTGTTAGCAGCCCAACACATTACCACTCTCCTACCAGGGATTTCACCTATTTTGTTGTTCTCGAGGAGATTCGAACTCATGCAGGACTCAGTGGAGCTGTCTGGTAGGGGAGGGTTTCTAAGGCCATTGTCTTTCGGGCAGTAGCCTACCACGCCTTTCTCCCAGGGAGCAGCTGGCGGGTTTGAACCACATACCTTTGGGTTAGCCGTTGAGCTCTTAGTCACTGCACCACCAGGCGTCCTTAGACTCTCACTGACTGCTGAAGAATTCACTCTCTGGTTCATGTGGCTGGAGACGTGTGCTGATCTTTGACGGGTCACTGCCTTAAGACAGGACGAACTGCACACCTGTCCCCCGGGGGCTGTCCTCCTTGGAGGTGACTGGGGCAGCCACATGGGGTGAGGGCACACGCGCCTGGGGACCCAGCCAACAGATCAGCATCTCTTGATTATTATCTTTTTAGGAAGTTGTGATGGTGACTGGGCAGTGGCGACACTTAAGTCACCCAAAGGTACCGTATGGCTTCTTTGTAGTTCTTCTGTTGTTGGCTTTAAGCAAGGCACGGGGACATCCTGGTGTCCGTGTGTGACCCAGTGTACACGTGTGTCCCTGTTTGATGGCACATGCAAGTTCGTCCCAGTTCAAGCATGTAGGTGTTGTGTGTGGTGTGGTGCAATGTGTGCTCACGTGAGCCAAGCCTGTGACCAGTTGTTGAAGAAGGTGCTCTGCCTCATGCCTGATACCGCTGCCTGAGGGAACGGCCACTGTAGGACACCAGCCCAGGTAAGCTATGCAGGAAATGTGTGTTTCCCTCAGGAAGCTACAAAGGTAAACAGCAAAATATGAAGTAAATCGATGTGGTAGATGAGAACACACCCATGGGAGAGAGAGAGAAAGAGGGGAGGTATTGGCCAGCGGTCCTCTCAATGATTAACCTTTTTCCACTTTTTCATTTGGTGCCTCACAACGTTATGGAGTTGGTCAGCTGTGGCCTGATGGAATTGGATCCAGGCAGTATGTACAATTTATTAACCCTCTAATAGATGGAAACCAGGAAAAGTAGGCATCAGGGTTGTATACTTTCTCCAGACTTCTTCAGTCTGCATGCTGAGTCAATAATCCGAGATGCTGGGTTTCCTGAAGAAGAAAGAGACATCAGAATTGGAAAGAGGTTCATTAGCAGCCACAACAGATGACACAACCTTGCTTGCTGAAAGCCAGTGGGATTTGAAGTGGCTCGGATCAGGCTCACAGACCCGAGCCTTTCAGCGTGGATTATACCTCCACATAACGAAAACACAGTTCTTCACAACAGGTCTAATAGGCAATACCATGATCAGTGGAGAAATGATTGAAGTTGGAAAGGATTTCATTTTACTCAGATCCACAGTTAACACCCATGGAAGCAACAGCAAGGAATCAAATAACGCATTGCATCAGGCAAATCTGCTGCAAAAGACCTGGTGAGCGTGCTAGAAAGCAAAGGTGTCAGTCACCTGGCGGACTGCGTGCACCTGCCTGCTCCAAGCCACGGTGTTCTCATTCGCCACATCGGTCTGCCGGAGCAGGACGGCGAATAAAGCCTGAAGAAGGCTCGATGCCTTTCCGTGACGATGGTGGCCAAGAACCTTAACTATATCATGGCCTGTCGCAGAACCACATGTGTCTTGGAGGAAGTGTGACTGTGATGCTCTTTAGAAGCAAGGATGGTGTGACTCTGTTTGTCATGCTGTGGGCATGCCATCGGAGGAACCAGTCTTTGGAGAGAGACATCGTGCTGGGTAAAGTCTTTACCTTTCCAAGAAAAAGAAAAATATCTTCAGTGAGATGAAGTGATACAGTGGCTGCAAAAAAAAGACTTGGCTGGCTCCCTAATTCTAAACAATCAACAAATGAAAACTGTGGGTCTCCCTCGTTTGGTCCTTAACCTACCACGGGCAGTGTTTTTGCTCTGTGCACAGGATCGCCAGGAGTCTGGACTAACAACAACAACAATCAGCAGGCATCCTGCTGGGTCCTCGCCGTGTGTCTTACTGCTGGGTTCCCTGACAACCGCGCTGTACAGGTCCTAGCCATTTAGAGAGGAGGACATTGCTGTCACTTATCAAAGGCACATTGAGGGTTGCTCTTTTCAAAGAAGACATGAACCTCGCTCAGTTCTCTTCTGTCTTCCCTTAAACTTTGTTGGATTTAGTGGTGGGAGAATGCACCCGTCCAAAGAGGTGGGAGGAGCCTCTTGAATGAGCTTGAAATGAGAGAAGTTAATGGACATTTCAAGGTTTTAGCCTGAGTACCGGCCTTGCCTTTGCTGCTGGGCCTGATGGCAGTGGTTAAGCACTGGCCATTAACTGAAAGGCCGGCGTGTGAACCCACCAGCAGCTCTGCAGGAGAAAAGATCTCACGGTCTGCTTCTGTCAGAACCCCAGTCCTGGAAACCCTGCCGGGCAGTTCAACGCTGTCCTAGAGGGTCCGTGTGACGGTTGGAGTTGGAGACATCTGGTGGGAGGATCTTAGTTATCCAGGTGGATGGTGCTCTGAGCTGGGAAGGGGAGAGGAGGGAGGGAAAAGTGGGGGAAGAGGATGGAGGAGAGGAATAGAAAGAGGAGGCAAGAGCTGCTGTAGACCAGTGGTTCTTCCATGCGGCACGTCAGAATCACCTGGAGCGCTTGTGAACACTCAGATGAGCACACTCCATCCCACACCTGATTCAGCTGGCCTAGGGTAGCACTGAGAATCTGTAATTCTCACAGGTTCCCAGGTGATGCCGATGGTGCTGGTAGGGCCCCACCCTCTGAGGACCACAGCCGTAGGGAAATCTTACTGGATGCTAAGACCCTTTGGTAGAGCTCCAAGGGTCTTCCTGTGGGCTGAAGGTCTGACACGGATCATGGAGGCACAGGAAGGACGTGTGCTCTGGGAGACCACTGTACCCTCGCACCGAGAGGGACAGAGAAAACTCCCCTAGTTATTGTCTGCCTGCTGTCTGGAGAGAGACAGATTTTCAGGTCTTGCATTAGATAATAACTGTTCACATGTCAAAGTCCATTTTTAGAAAAGCAAATAATTTGGAACATGACAGACCTACTAATTTGAGGCATAAACTTTTGTCTCTCTCTCTCCCTCGTGAACACAAAGCCATTGTGATCCCCGTGACAGCACTCAGAAGCAGCCAGCAGCCCTGTCCTGTTGTTGTCTGATGCATTTAGAAAATGTTCCAGGACAGGTCAGCAGCTGTGCATGGAAGCTGTTTTCTGCTCAAAGCAAGCTTTCCTTACCTGTACTGCTGAATGCATCTTGATTTACATGGGCTTCTCTGGGGAGGGTCGCAGGGTCTTAGAAAAAGACCCTTAGAAAGCTAGGCTCAAGTTTCCTTATCTTCTTTCAGGGCTCTCTATTCAGCCGCCCTGCCTTCATCTGTCAGTACATTGACTTGGGTGTTGCTACCATGCTGAGAGTGATAGACTAGGATTCTAAATACCAGCAGTTTTTCAAAGGTAGACAGGTGTCAGTAGAGTTTCCAGATTAATCCAGACTAGGAAGGAAGGCCTGGCTCTCTATTTTTGAAGATCTGCCAATGAGAACCCTATGGGTCATCCTAGAAAATTGTCTGTAACGATAGAGGACTGGAAGTTGAACCCCATCAATTGGAAGTCACACAAAATAGCCAGGATCCTACAGGATTTGGCCATGTTTTGTTTTGCTCAGTATGGGGTCGTTGTGAGATGACTCAGCAACTAACAGCAGCAAACACCACCTACCCTCCAGATTGAGAGTACAGGAGGATGCTAACAACATTAGGATGGCAGGCTCCATCCTCCCTAACTGTGGCACCTCCTTCATGGAGAGGTTCAAGCAAGATGCTGCTTAGGACCAGGCACATCTGGGTTCCAATCCTGGAATCCATCAGTTGTTAGTCTTGTCACCTTCAATAATTCCAGTAATGCTACCTCTCTGAGCCCAGATGTTATGATCTGGACTCGTGAAAACTTCATGCCATCAAGTCGATCCTAACTCATAGGGATCCTATAGGACGAGGTGGATCTGCCCCTGGGGTTTCCAAGGCTATTACTCTTTATGAACATACAAAGTCTCATCTTTCTGCCACACAGCAGCTGATGGTTCCAAACTGTTGGCCTTGTGGTTAGCAGCCGAACATGTTAACTACTTTGTGACCAGGGCTAGGAAAAGACATCACAACACACTATAGGAGCCTGCACTGTTCACTTCTCACTGAAGCCTCCCTGTGGTGTAGTAGGTTAAGCAAGGGTTGTTAACTAAAAGGTCAGAAGTTCAAACCCACCAAAGGCTCTGTGGTAGAAAGATAGAGCAGTTGGCTTCTGTAAAACGTTCGTCTTAGAAACACTTAGGAACATTTCTGTTCTACTCTGTCCTGTAGGGTTCCTATGAGGGGGACTCAACTTCAAGACAATGGATTTGGTTTGAGGTTTCCTATACTGGTGGCTATCATTGATTCATCCATGCCCAACTTTGGGGACTTGACTTCTTGAATATTTGTTTAAAATCCGGGCAGAAGAAACCACCTCAAGCCTAGCATCCTAATCAAGATGAATCCATGACTTTGGGAATCTGTCCAGTCCCTTGGTCTACAATGAGACCCTGAGCCTGGGAAAGGACTGTGATGGGGTCACTCCTGTTCTGGCAGGGACAAGGCTGTGGGTTCTCGTCCTCTTTACACTCTGTGGACTTCTACATCTTCCACGGCAAACTTGGAGTGCGCATAGTTCCCGCACTCCGTACAGTGTGAGTCCGTGGATGTACGCTCTTAGCTACAAAGCCCCAAATCCACAGGCACCAAGTCAGTCTGACTCGCAGCAACCCTCTCAGACCAAGTGGAACTGCCCTGAAGCTTTCCAAAGGTGCAGTCTTCAGGGCAGAAGACCGCCACATCCTTCTTCCTCGAAGCAGCCGTGAGTTCTGTGTTCCATTTGGTTAAAAGCCAGGCACATTAATCTCAGTACTACCAGGGCTCCTAGTTCTTAGCAAAGCACTAATAGGTGCCAAGGTGGCGCCATGGGTTAAGTCTTGCATTGCTGCAAGAAGGTTGGCGGTTCAAATCCACCAGCTGTTCAGTGGGCCAAAGAAGAGGCTGTCTGCTCTCTGGCACATTAAGAATCTCAGAATCCCTAGGAAGCAGTTCTACTCTGTCCAATAGGGGTTATGAGTTGGAATAGACTTGATGGCAGTGAGTTTGATTTTTCTTTAAATAGAGGTACATGTGGTCAGTGGTAGAGGAGCCCAGGTGGTGTGGTGGTTATGTGTTGGGCTGCTAACTACATGGTCAGTAGTTCAAAGCCACCAACCACTACTGGGAGAAAGCTGGGTCTTCCTACTCCTGTGAAGAATCAGAATCTTGGAAACTCACAGGGGCAGTTCTACCCTGTCCTGTAGGGTCACTGTGAGTTGGCATCGACTCATTGGTAGTGAGTTTGGAATTTTGGTTTGGTTGCTCGGTGGTAGAATTAAAAGCAGGAGACCAGAGAAAATGCTCCT